TGTTCATCTGACAAAAGGAACTTCGCAACTAGAGATTTGAAAGACTCCAGCGTTTGGGTGCGTCTAACATTCTCAGGTAAGAAATTCCATAAATGGATCGCTCGCAGGGTAAAAGATTGGTAAAATTGAGAAAATTTAGGCGGTATGTAAAGGCGGAGATTGTCAGATGAACAAAGGGGAAGATTGTGAGTAGAGGAAAGAAACTTAAAATGCTCTTTGAGATATCTGGGTGACAATATTAATATGTATTATATTATATATATGAATTATATGTGTTTATATATTTTCTCTTCCTTTTTATATTTATGTATGTATTATTCTTTAAAAATATCGTTTTACTATTAATAATAAATGCTTAAAAAATCCCTTTTGTCCCTGGCAAATTCTCATTTTCTTCATCGATTACATACCTTTCGATTACCTTTATCATTTATTTTAATTTTCACATCAGCTAATGGTTGACTAGCAAATAATACCTAAGGAATTAAGTCCGCCTTTGTACGATTATGCATGAAGAATGAAATAAATAAATATTGAGAGGTGCGATGTATATTATCATTCAAATACGGTTGCCGACTCTCCTCGTGCGGAGCCCATTGGCCAGTATAAATGTTCCGTGTTAGCAATTCTGACTAATAATTTCGAATTTGTCTCAAAGTCAACCTAATTGAGTAAAATTAACGTTGCTCATTTCAATCTTATAAGCTTTCATTGAAAACCAGTCACAATCAGTACTACAAATATTTTGACTTACCGTGAATGTGAAAGACTGCTGAAAATAGTGATATTGTTTGAAAAGTAGCCTAAATGCCTTTATATATTTTTTTGAATCTTTAAGAGTCTTTACTTGGTCATCATATTTCGTTTTCCAAAACAATTTGCTAAATAACGTAGCAGGTATAAGATCCATTTTTGTCTTGGTGGTTTTCATAATGGCCACTTTAAGATACTTAGCTCTCAGGGAAATGAACATGAAATGACACAAGATTAAGTTCACGTCATAGAATGCACAGAAAGCCCAGTAAAAGTAAATGCTACCGATAAAATGTATCCAGAGCGAAACATCAAATACCATATACAAAGAAACTACAAGTATACACTGATTTATTAATACAGGTATAGTGGTAACAAGAAATTGTGCTTCTTCTAAACTCCTTAGAAATCGTGTGTCGTTTTTACCAAGCAGCATATCAATTTCGATGCGATTGTTTATCAGTTTTGCGCCAATATTCCTATTTGAGAATGTTATTTTAATCACAAATGATATTACTAATGCTGATATTTCAATCAGAGTGACCACTTCAACATAAAAAAGATCATTTATTAATTCATATAAAATGTCACATACAGCAAAAATTGCAAAAAATATTATGACTATGCCGTTGACGATTGAACTCCTTGTTTTATTCACGAATTGTCCATTTTTAATCGTGTAACGGCTATACCCGGCGATTTTTATAATCCAATATATAATACCACTGAATCTTTTAACGTATTCTCTTGTTAATTCTTGTTTTTTTATATATTTAATTGACATTTTAATAAATTTACTACCGGACGTTCAATACTACTTAGCTTTTATACTAAAATGGTTTCGTTTTATATCGATTTGTTACCTAATGGTTTTGTTAATGATCGTGGAATAGCTGAATTGATATTTAAAAATATTCAGGACATCATTTTACTGTACGTGTTTAAAAATTAAATTGTGTGATTAAAGATCAAGTACTTTAAAAACATGATACGTAACGCCTGTGCATTTTCTTAAAGAAATGTTTTATTTAGACGTTTTGTCGTCATAAAAGATAAACTGTAGAAAAATCAAATATGCTGCAATTAAAATATTCGACAATTATTAAGTAATTCATACAAAAAAAAAGAAATAAAATTTTCTACATGAATTGGTTAGTTTTACCGTTTATATATTAAAATCACATGCTATACAAACCGAAGCTGTATATTTTTCACATAATTAAAATTCTAATTTGTTAGTGATAGGTATCGTTTACTTACAATTTCGATGCTCTATTTATCAATAAGTGTTCGGAAATTTACTAGATATGCATACTACTTACACGATATGCATGGAAATACTCAAACGCGTTAGATTGACAGACATTGTATGTAAATATACATATATACATACGAGTATATGTTGAACATGTCTCTTCTCTTAATATTTTTGAACATTGTTTATTCTGCCGGTTTACATGATAGGGTCGGTTACACGGAAGTATGGAAAATAAGCAATGGAATTGATCCAGTAAGACGAGAAGGGAAATTAAGTGGACATACAAGAACCTATTTTAAATACCTACTGACGAATCTGACAAATCACCATTTTTAAATACTAAAGCGCGTTAGATTATATATTAGATATAAAAAAAGTTTAATTGCTTAGGTCATAGTAAGAATATAAAGGTACTTATACCTATTGCTTATGAAAAGATCCCAATGGCCCATTTAGTGCTCGACATAGTCTTTTGCCGATTAATCAATGACCGACCAATGAATGAGCCACAGAAATCACACGCACGACGTATGTAGACCTCATCCACTAATAGTTGCAATTAAAGGTTTATTGTCGTTGGGCAACCTGTCGCGTATTTATTTGTTGATTTTATTTTAATGGGAGGTCGATTAGTTTCAAAGAGATTAAAATCTTACATTCATATTAATTCATCCACTAAGGCGATTGAAATCGAAATAAATTAAAAAAATATTGCTTAGATTATTTAGATGTAGCTGAAATTTTATTTTAGTGATGGAATTTAATTAATTGAAAAATTCTGCATTTGAAAACAAAAAGCACTATTTATAGAAAATTTTGTATTCTGTTGAGGAATGTGTTTTATTATGTATTTGAATTGATAATACGAGGGTACTTCCTATTAGCTCACAACATTTGGCGAGAGTAGCTCGGTGGCATAGTGGATGAGCATCGCTGCCAGGGATCGTTGTTATTGAATAACTTCCGCAAGGTTCGATCACGGGATGGGTGACCTAAAAATTATTATTTCGGGCTACTTCGCGCTTCGAAAGGCACGTTAAGCCTTTGATTCCCGATGCATTAGCAGTCGTTATAACCTTCCAATCCGCATTTAGCCATCATGGAGGGTCATTGCCCATCCTCTTTAATCATTTAGAAGACTTTTGTCCCTGCATTGGTGACGTAAAAGGGCTAATGGTGATGATGAATTAATAAAAATTACCACTATTTATTACCTGGCTGATCTGGCTGATCGTTCCCCTTCAGGGAGTCAGCTGTATTGCCAATCCGATGTGCCGAGCCCTCCGGGGTTAACGACTAGCATCTCGATGTCACAATTCATGTAGGTGAAAAGTGATGTCTGCGAAATGCTTATGATAATGCTTTAATGCTTTACACCTTTAGTTGGTATTAAAACATTTTAGATTATCATTTCCGTTTTAAAGGGGAAAATAAAAAGACTAAAGTTATATTTTAATCATGATATATTGCTTATCAATATAGAGTAACAAAGAGTTCATTTCTTAACATGAAACTACCTGCATAGGTTCATGGTGGAATCAAAATGCTAGTAAATGCAACAGTCAAGTATAAAACAATGCGTGCGCTATCACAATTATTATATACTGATACAATCATTTAATGATAAGCCAATATAAAAGTTTTCAGATCTATCAAAAACTTATCGAATTGTACAAAATACTAATAACATTATTATTTTAAAAATCTCATAAATGCTAATTAGGTACTACAATTATGCAGTTAATACATTCTCGAAATTTTACTACTATTTTCTTTTCTAAATTTAGACATTATTTACAATTTATTCAACATTTTCCAAAAGTTCGCCATATAAGCGTACTTTATAAATTGAGCATCATTGTCTTCTTCTATCATCTTTATATAAAATCGGAAGCGCAACATCAAGAATTCTTGATGTAAAATTATTACACAACAGTCGACGCATTAAATAATTCAGTTATACAATAGATAAATTCTCACACACACTCACAGCACAGGCAGTAGCCGACCGATATTTTAATTTAAATATTATAAATATTACTAGAAATGCATTAAAAATTGGTACGACATAATGTACGAACCTATTTTTGGATCGACAAACAATAAAAAAATTTAGATATCATTAATAAGTACAAACAAAGAACAAACATAACATTCTCTATAGTACATACACATAAACTTGTGACATAATTTGTGTTAATATTTCGATAGATAATTAGAAGCTAATATCACTAAAACGAGGAAAGAGATTCCAAATTGTGCAGTTAGTTTGTATCAAAGTTTATTTCCCTTTGATATAATTTTATTTCATGAAGCGGACAAGAAGTGTCATCCGTTTCATTTCGCTTCATTTCAAGTCAGCAGCATTCCTGTTTAGCACCATTCTTTAAGTTACTCCATATACTTTTATTAATAATCTCATCGACATAACTTTTGGCTGGTTTGAAATGAAACTTACAATCATCAATTAAATTAAGTTCTATGTTCTAAAGTTTAAATTTAACTTATCAACTAGACTTAAATGTTAATCCCGTACCATCACCAAAGATTGCACATAATACCCGATACTTTGATTTTTGCAGTCGTGCCTACGCAGTAGGCTTATTGGAGTGGGTCCATTTCATTTGACTGATAAATATTAAGGTATTTTTATGGAAACAAAAGGTGTATAGTTACGTATATATACGTATAAACCGTTCAAACACATATCTCCAACCAGCGGAATGTTTTCTTCTTATTGGAAGACAAATTGATTTTTATAAATAAGAAATTGTATGTGTGCAAAAATACCGTGATATAAAGCACTGGGTTACATTTTTAGATGATTTTGTATTGATCTATATTTAAGCGGACGGAATAAATTCGTAATTAAGTACCTTTCGTTCCATTATAACTTAAATGGAATTATTGACACTGTTAATTTACCGGTGGCGGTATTATAAAAGTGTTTCCCATTTGATTCAAGACAATTTGTTTTAATAAGGTACTTTTAGTTATGAACAGGCATGGGCAGCTGTCCTAAGAGTTGGTTCGCGAAGGTGGCATTCGTAAATTTGAAATGCCGTTTATCATAAAACTTGAGTAACGCTGGAGAATACGGGTGCTGTTTTTTGAGGTGCATATAATGCTCTTCTGGTTCCGATGTAGTGTGGCCGCACTCTTCGCAAACGTACATCTGGAATGAAAGACAGGTGACATTAATAAAAAAAATAAAAAAGATTTATTAATAATCATTGTTATTTTAGTAAACGCAGTTTTAAAAATGAATTAAGATCATTATTGAGTTATTGAAAATTTAATAATTATACCAGTACATATTAAATTTTCAATAAAACTATAGGCATGGAGTACCGTAAGCATGAATTTAAGATTTATGACAGATAGGTAGAATTTAGATACTGTAATTACAACCTAGCTGATGACTAACAATTATTAAATATTATACTTGAGCAAGCTGATGATGATGATGATGATACTTGAGCAATTTTTGCATTCACAATGTTATACTGAAAAATATTAACTAAATATGGAACCTAAGGTCTAAGATTGAATAGAGTGAATTAATGAAAAAATAGAAGTTGGTATATTACCTTAGTCCTTCTTTCCTTGTATGCGTAAGTATGTTGAACACCATGAACCTTGAGGCAATGTGACTCCAACGAACATCTTTGGGTAAAGGACTTCTCGCAGAGGTTGCACTTATAGGGTCTGACGCCGGTGTGGGTCCTGGTATGTCGTTTAAGGTCGAATGTATCATTGAATCCTTTTCCGCAAAATGTGCAAAGGTATCGCTTGACATCCGAATGACATTTCATATGTCGGTTCAAAAGCCTCTGTAAACTAAAATTCTTTGAGCAGACCCTACAAACAAATTTTGTGGGATCATCTTCACTAACTAATACTTGTTTGTTTTTCTCTTCTTCCCTTTGTCTAGCATTAGCTTCTGTTGCTAATGGGTTCTTTACTCCATGTCCACCGTTAATGAATTCCAATGGAAGTTCTGCCGGTAGACCCAACTGTAAAGAGATTAAGTGTATATGTAATACTCGCCTTATACGTACGTATTTACATAATAAAGTTTTTTTCCATTGAATGACTTCAAAAATATTAAAACTATAATAAATTAGAAATCAACGTTTAAACTCATCATTATTAATGTATAAGGCTGAGCTTATCCATAAACGTGTTCTATACTTAATCAAAATTAATTTTATTACAAAATACTAAAAAAATGGCTCAAGTTAAAGCATAAGTTGATTCAGGCTCAGCATTACATAATAACGATTTTTCATTTTTAAAGTTCGTTATCGTCTTTCTTTTTTGAGAAAGGCCGTAAAGAAAAACCGATAGTAAACGAATCAAAGCTTCGCCTTAAAATCAAATAATGCTTACCCTTTGTTGCAAGATTTGTAATTTGCTATCGCTGGCAGAGCCTTTCTTCAAACTTACAGCAGCTGCTGGGCTGAGCGATGAATTCTCGATGTGGCTGCTACCGTCTAAGGAGTTGTTGCCACCGGGCGAAGGCAGCGATACACCCGTTGGAGAGTCCAGGTCTAAAGAGTGACTAGTGAATGGGAAGCCAGGCGATAGTATTGGTGGCCTTTGCTGGAACTGTACGTGTATTTGTAGTTGTTGCATTTGTCCTTCGTTATGTTGCAGGAGCGCTGGATTAAGTTGCATCAATAAATCTGGTCGGTCTTTTGAAAAATTATATGATGAACCCTGTTCTTGACTGGCAAAAGCTAAATAGTTTGCTTTCTCGTAATACTGTCTACTTAAACTTTCAATATCTAATGGATTATGGACTGAATCTGGGGTGACCGAAGAAGACTCTCTTATTTCAGAGTCGGTTATAGATTCAACATGATTATTAAGTAAGCTTGCGAAATCTTCAGTTGAATCAGAAAGATTCCCTAAAATACTTTCATTTGCTCCTGAGAACGTTAAAGTTGTCGAAAATTGATAACTATCAATAACATCGTCACCCATATCAACAACCATAGGGTCGTCGAAATTATTTCCATAGTTCCCCATAGCACTCAAGTTTTCTAGTTTGCCTTCGTAATCTATTTCTTCATCTTTCAATGCTAAGCCATAGTGTGCATTTTGCATTAGAGAATACTGTTTACTTTGTTCAGGGAAATTTGCAGCGTTTTCGGCATTTTCACAATCCATATTAAAACCATTGATAATGTTGAATTCATTTGAAAAATTACTATTAGCGTTAAAAGAATTTTGACCGCCTTTTGAGGAAGGTCCAAGTGTTTCATAGAATGGTGGTAGACTGCCAGTAGGTGGACTGTTTGGTCCATAATTAGATCTGCCATCTCGACCATTACCACCACTTCCTGACCCTCCTCCAATTGCTCCGCCACCACCCGATGAAGGAGCTGTGCTTCCACCACCTGAACTGAATCCGCTTGAACCGCCACTGCCTTGTGAACCGCCGTTAGATCCACTTCCTCCAGTTGAACGTCCATGCCCAGCGGCAGCATTGAGGATTCCAGGAACTTTACTACCTGGACAGTTTCTCAGTACAAGAACTGGTCTAGCTAAGATACTATTAGCAATTTTTGAACTGCTTGTTCTTCTCTGTTCTCTTATTTTCTTTTCAGTTTCTTCGTCTTCTGATTCACCACGTTTTTTAGCTATAACATAGTCAATTGGCTGATCTTGTTCAGGTTCAGATGCTGGCAGTGTCGCAGGTATACTGACATCAGATAATTCTTTTTTACTATCGCGAAACTGTGATTGTGATGGTGTCCTCTGAATTACAGATACTTTCTGACATGTAACATTATTTTCAACGTTAGGTGATGGTGAAGATTCTGGGGAAGGCGTACTCCTTGACGGCAGGACTACAGGATCACTGTCAAGAGAATCTTTTTCTTCTTTTATAAGTGGTCGTTCTTCTGTTTTCTTTTCCTCTACAACTGGTAAGTATTGTTTTCTTTCAGCAGGCGTGAGAACATGTCCTTTATGACTTCCATACGGTATATCACCACCAAGTATGGACGAAATAAATCTTCTTGGTTCTTTTGTCCGTTTTTCATGTAAGCTCTTCGAATTATTTTCCCCAAACACATCTCGTTCTGAAACAAAATAAAGTAAAATTAAAATTTTATTGTTTGAAAAAATTAAGATGTTAGTCTAAAATAAGTTATTATGTGGTCTTGGCTATGTTTGTAATGTATTCATGTGGCGTCGGAGGCATGAAGCCTCGTTGACGTCACTGGTATGTGCCTCCATAACGGTAACACTCGCCTCCGCACACACCTACTGATATAGTGTGTGCATAGATTGTAATTGTAATTGGCGTACCAGCCGCGGACAAACTGACAAATTCGAATCTCGACCTAAATCTAATAGTCATTGACGCCGCTGAGTTTTACCCATTCAGTCAATGTTGAATATATACTTCCTGCCTACTTATGCGATTATGGTCTACCAATACATATCAATATCAATGAGTCCATGTGTGAATATTTTATACAACAAACAACACATGATGTTGCTTGATGTTAGGGTAATTTGAATGTGTTACGTAATTTTTACAGTGGATAGAAAGCTACACGAGGTAAAAAAAAATACCTATAAAAATCAAACAAAAAGCAGTTAGCGAAATGGGTTTAGATAGTTAGTGAAAGTCCCAAGGTTGACTAAAACGAGTTCTTTTGCCCTTTCTCGGCTTTTGTTGGGAGTCCAAGGACGAGCCTGCATTGTTGGGACTCTTTTTTGTTCGGTGCCCGTAATTGTATGCGTCGGCGCAGGCAGGCGTGACGGAGACGGACTGCAAACTTTAATTTCAAATCTCTTCATCCATAGTGCACCATTATTTTTTATGTTAATTTTATGTTATTTATGTTATTTTTTACGTTGAGTGCTGTAGTTGTCATAGCAACCTGATTAGATACCTATATGGCATTTCTTTATATAAGATGTTGTAAGAATGTAAATGTAATGCTGTGCTATTTGGTTTTAGCTATGTAGGTAGGTAATTAAGAATTGTGGTTTAGAAAAAAATCCATTGACTTATTTTAAAAGTGTATTTTCTTATGATTTAGTTTCAATTATTTTATTATATAAACTATATCTTACTGTCCAAATTTAAAGTGTTAATTTGTACCTACTCTAACAAAGTTATGACTTCGTATACATACACAAGCAACAGCATTTCGGTTTACTCTTTATGTCAAATATCAGACTGATTTGGAACTCTAACGACAACATTTTAAAGTCTAATAAAAAAAAGTTTTTTAAATTCTTTCACATACGGGGAGCTTATGTTATTCGCGGCTGACAAAGGGTTGGTATAATTTACGCCGGCGAAGTCGCGGGAAAATAGCTATATAATTTTAATAGCATTTTGTTATTTCATGTCTAATATACTGTACTGTAAATATTTGCTTGTATTAATGTTTTTTGTGATGTATAATAAAGTGTTTATTCAGTCATTGATTCATTCAATATAATTAAATTTAAAACGCATATACTTACTTATAGATCTGATTAACTAAACATCGATCGGCAATTTTGAGTGTGCATTATAAGAACTTCCTATATAGATAGGCTTAACGAGCCCCATTGTTTTAAAGCCCTTTGCTTTCGTGGATAGTTGTTAGTTAATACAAAAATATAATTTGAGTATACTTATTAAATTTCAAAATAAAATTTGTTTTCAAACAGAATATAACTGAGCTTATCGACATTTAAATTTTAAACGATAAATACAATATTTTATTACGATTTGATACCGATTATATACATATGTAGTTTAGAATAATTAAATGCGAAATTATATTCATATAAAACAAGATTTTTAATTGCACACTTCATTATTATCATTTATATTATTTCATAATAATAATATTTTTATTGAGTTATTGACGTAAAATATCTAGTAATTGATTTCAAATTGTGTCGGTCAAATGTTGCTACTGAATTTTTTATTCTGATGGCGAGGTCCATTCGTGCTTGACATTTGGAAACGAGAATAAAGGTTTGTAATTTATATTCTGCGAGCGACGAACAGCGGCCGGTGCACATAAGAATTCTAATAAGTACTTCATTCCATAAGTCACTGGGCATTTGAAGGAATGGAATTTTCAAAATAGAGACTCACTAAATTAATAAGAAGGGGAATTGTGATACGATTTACAGTAGAACTGTTCAGTGTTTTCGCATTCAAAAATGCGATAGAGCAAAAAAATATTGATCTATCTTATAACAGTCTTCGTGCTCAAACAAATAGCATAGAGATAATGATTAAGATTATTTTCTTTTAAAATTAGTTAACGTCTGTGAGCATAATTCTTTTTACTGAACGTTCTCTAATGTTGCTATGGTACTTTGAGTTATATTTAAATAGTGCGGTTTTTATTCTAAAACAGTAAGTCAAGGCCCCGTAATTGCCAAGTCCATATCTATTCAGTTGCCGTTTCCTGCCGAGAAATAACCTTGAATGCGAACGCTCATTATTTGGTCATTAACGGCTGCCTTCTTCGCATCACTTTTGGCAATAATTAGTGGCTTTAGAACTGAGCTGATTTACGTGGCTTTGATAGTCCATGCATCATATGTGATAAGTCTAAAAATTTTATAATACTATGTTTTAATGAAATACAGTTAAAAATAAGTCCACGCATATCTCAAAATGTCAAAAATAACTGCATCTACATCTGAACAGTCATTCATAATATTCTAATGAAAAGGTTCTCTGTAAAAGGACTTACTAGAGTCTGGCAAGCGAAACGTGACACCACCTATTTTTCCGTTTTCATATGGCAACAACATAGAACTGTCAGTTTGACACTACGTTAGACAATTCAAGAATATTGAATTTTGTTGTTTTTGCGAATTTGAACTTGTGTTTTTGGTTAAAAATTATGTCGAAGCCGATAAAAAGTTCATCGAGGAAACTTCTTTCCATCATGATTTACTCATGATTACAAGTTTACTGAAGTGAAAACTGAATTAAATAAAAATTTCATGGAGAAATTACAACGATTAGATAAAGTTGTATCTTTTTTAGGTTAGTTTTGTATTATAATTTTGATACTTTCGTTTTAATTTTCTGTAATTAACTAAACAGATATTTTTTATAAAATATTGCTCTATTTCAGATAACTGTGATGGTGATATTCAACCAATAATGGAGGAGATAAATGCAATAAAAACTTTAGAAAAACAAGAAATGCTGAATTCGGAAACGCAGTACTTACAAAAAATTTCTTCAATGACAGGTCTCTTTTCTTGTTTTGATTTAAGATAGATTGATAGTATTCCTATAATATTTACATAGGTTTTTTATGATGTATTGGTTTTTATTGTTGACATCCAATGATGTCATAAGAATGTTTTGTTTAACAAGGAAATTCACAGAATTCATGAAACTAATCAAACCATGTAATTGTTATACATGCTAAATATGCACATAAACTTAACTAAATTAAACATAAATTGCATTCATAGTTGAATAGGTATTTAAATTATTTTGATGTATGTGTCTATCATTATTTGCTTTTAAATACATTTAACATATCTTTGTTTCAAAGTGTTTAATCTTTTATAGATGTAAGTATAAGGACACTAAGAAGGATAAAAAATGAAGCATTAATTAATAAAGGAAAATGGGACACTCCTGGGAAAAAACGACCTCATCAACCAACAGTGTCTGCTTTAGATAATTTTGATTTAAGTGCAATTCGGAATAAAGTAAATGAATTTTACTGTGTGAAAAAAATTGTTCCAACATTAAGAAGCCTTCACAATGAATTAAAAGATGCAATAGGATTCAGTGGTAGCCGTGAGACTTTACGAAAAATTATGCTTAAGAATGGATTTTCTTTTAAAAGCAATGAAAATGAACGTTCTATGCTTATAGAAAAATACCAGATTTCTGCATGGAGGCACAAGTATTTGAGAGAAATAAATATAAAACGAAACGAAGGAAAGCAAATTGTGTACCTTGATGAAACTTATGTACATCAGAATTATAAAGTTAAAAAGTCTTGGCAAGGACCTTCAACAACTGGTGTCACTACAAAGATATCCTCTGGAAAACGGCATATTGTTGTGCATGCTGGATCTGAGGAAGGTTTTGTGCCTGGTGCATTATTAGTGTTCAGTAGTAAATCCAAATCTGCTGATTATCATGATGATATGAACTCATCGAACTTTATGAAATGGGTCAGAGAAAAATTAATACCAAATTTAAGTAAGCCCAGTGTAATTGTTATGGATAATGCCAGCTACCATATAAAACAAATCAATAAACCGCCTATAATGTCTAATACCAAAGCAGATATCCGTAAATGGCTTGTAAATAATGGAATACATTTTGAGGAATATCAGACAAAGGCAGAGTTAATGTGTTTGGTTAATGATAAGAAAACATTGCCTGTATATGAACCTGAAGAGATTTTAAAAGAACATAATCATGAACTTTTATTGCTGCCACCGTATCATTGTGACTTAAACCCAATAGAGATGGTTTGGAGTCAAGCAAAAAGAAAAATTGCAAGCAGAAACATTGGAATACCAGGAAAGGAAATGGAAAACTTAATAATAGAGTGTTTTAACTTAATTACCCCTAGTGACTGGAAGAAATACACTGATCATGTTTTAAATGTCGAAAATGATTACAAATTAAAAGATGGCATTGTTGAAAACGAACTTGAAAAATTTATTATATCTGTTGGTGCAGACAGTAGTGAAGAGAGTGACTCTGATGATTCCTTGTCATTGTTATCAGGTGTAGAATATTTAGAAACAGATTTTGACTATGAATCAGACTAAAGTATTTTTAGTCTGATTCATAGTCAAAATCTTATCTTAAATTTTCTATTGTGATTAACATGATGATTTTGTGACACCTGTATTATGTAATTTATCCATGGCACTTAATTGTAACAAAAATAAATGTTTTTTTTATTGTAATCTGGTGTTTATATTGACTAATTTAATTTGATAGATAGTGGTTCTGGATCAGAGCAAAAGGTTGTGATGAAAATCCCTTAGGAGACATGTATGTGTTATGAACACATTATAAATATAAGGGCCAGAAATCAAAATTGGCTAACATCACATTTAT